TGCGGTGGGGCGCCGGGCGGCCGAGCGCCCACGCCTGCTGATTGCAGAGGGGGCGGCCCGAGTGGGGGGGGCCCCGAGGTGGAGGTCTTGTGCCCGCCTCACCCGCCCTTCATCCCTTCACCCAGGCGGGCCGCGGGTCGCTATACTCCCTGAAGGCCACCCTGGAGGAGATGCCCTGCAACGACCCTACGGTGTGCCAGCTCCCTGTGTCCAAGAAAACATTGGTGAGTGTCGGGGCTCCTGAGACCCCCTGTACCCGGCTGAGCCTGGCCGCACTTGAGGTTATGGGCCAACTCAGAAGGTATTTGAGGGGGCAGCTACTCAACGCAGAGTCACATCCAGGGCCTGAGGACCAGAGACCAAGATGCTGTCAGAGGGCAGAGGGTCCAGGCTCAGGGCCTCCGTCCCTACTGGGGGCCGATGGCCGTGCAGGTGGCCCTCATCCGAGGGCCCTCTCCCTCTAGCCTGTCAAGGCCTTGCTCCCCTCCCAGTCTCCAGACTGGCTTCTTCCTCTCTCACCAGCTCTGCACCTTCGAAATCCTCAATGAGCTAGGGAAGCACGTGCTGCTGAGGCAGGACTGTGGCCCAGTGGATACCAAGATCACAGGTGCTTGGGCAGCTGAGGGTGCTGGGGCAGCTCAGGTTGGACTTCATTCGAGGTCCAGCCTTGATCTCATGTCTTTTCTGACCAGATGACAAAAACGGGACTTTGAGTTCAGTCCTTCCACTGTTGAACAACCCCCTGTCTCAGGTGAGGAACCGTCTCTGCTGGGGCTGCTGGCTGCAGCCTGAGGTCCCTGGCTACCCTGGTGTGGGGGTCTCTGGGGAGCTGGAGAAGGACTCCATGCATAGGTCTGTCTGCCTTTCCAGGACTTCACTGTCAAGATGGCCTCCATCTTCAAGGAGTTTGTTGTCACCTACAACCGGACATATGAGACGAAGGAGGGTGAGGACCCCGCCTTGGTTGTACCCACTCCAGTCAGATCAGGGTCTTCCCCCCAGCTTGGCTCTCGGGGAGGAAGGACACGAGGCAGAGCATCCTTTCAAGGACCCCCCAAATACCCAAGTTCTTGCCCACCTCCCCTGGCTAGGCTGCCACCTGGCCCTCTTCTGTCTGTTTTTTCTGGTTAGAAGCCAGGACTTCCTTTGTCGGGGCAGTGTGGGGCAGGACCGGGATGTGCCCAGCAGCCTTTCCCACAACTTCCTGTCTGGAGATGCCCTTCGGCACTCTGTTGGAGCTCTCACTTGCAGATCTGGCCCCCACCCCCCCTGTTCCAGGACATTGTTCTCCTTGTCAAGCTCAGACCTGACCTAGAGTCCACCTGTTCCCCAGAAAAACCGCTGCCGGTTAACCCCAAGTCCCCTCCTTTATGACCTGCCGGGATCTGAGCCCTCCTCTCCTGCTGCTTGGCCCTCAGAGGCCCAGTGGCGCATGTCCATCTTCATCAATAACTTGGTGCGGGCGCAGAAGATCCAGGCCCTGGACCGCGGCACAGCTCAGTATGGGATCACCAGGTTCAGTGACCTCACAGGTAGGGGTTGGTTGGAGCCCTGGTAGAGCCCAGGAGAGGCAGAGCCTGTTCTTGCGGCCATGGTCAGGCTGGCTTAGCAGAAGCTCCCCCCCCCCCAGAGGAGGAATTCCGCACCATCTACCTGAATCCGCTCCTGAAGGACAATGCAGGCCAGAAGATGCGCCGAGCACAGTCTGTTACTGATCCCGCCCCCCCTGAGTGGGACTGGAGGGAGAAGGGGGCTGTCACCAAAGTCAAGGACCAGGTTCGAGCCCCTCGGGAGGGCGGGACATGAGGCTGGCCGCGGGTTGGGCAGGCCCCACCCTGACCTGTGTCTCTTGCAGGGCATGTGCGGCTCCTGCTGGGCCTTCTCGGTCACAGGCAACGTGGAGGGCCAGTGGTTCCTGAAAGCGGGAGACCTGCTCTCCCTCTCCGAGCAGGGTGAGCATCCCGCTCCACCTGCCCACCCCTGGCCCAGCCCCTCCAGAGGGCTCCTCGGAACCGGCCTTCTGTCTCCTAGAGCTCTTGGACTGTGACAAAGTGGACAAGGCCTGTCTGGGCGGCTTGCCCTCCAACGCCTACTCGGCCATAAAGATCCTGGGTATGCACGGGGGTACACAGCAGGGGCTGGGGGGTGGACAGGAGTGAACTGAGTCCAGTCTTCACGTTGACCCTCAAGCATGTTGATTTTCAGGGCCTCGGTGGCTACATCTGTGAAATGGGCTCAGAGAGGAACTAGGTGCAAAGTCCTGGTGCAGAGCAGGGGTCTTGGTGTTTTGCTGTCTTTCTGGAACACTGCTACCTGTAGCAAGGCACCTCCCCCTCAAGGGGAGGCGTTGCCTAGTGGGCAGCTCACTTCTGCCCTGGCAGAAGGGTGAGGACTGAGGGCCACAGAGCTGTCCAGAGGCTGGTCTGGGAGCCTAGCGGGGGTCTGAGCTGCACAGGGAGCAGCTTGTCAGAGCAGGGCCCAGCAGCCACGGCGGGAGTCCCAAGACTGTGGGGGGAGCACACTCAGGTGGGAGTGGGGTTCCAGCATGGCCATGTACCTCGCTGCCCTGTAAGGTGCCCGCACTTCAATCGCTCCCTCTCTAGAACAAGGCCGTGTCTTAGGGGATGGCTGGGACCTGGGGTGGGTGAGGGGCCGAGCATGGCTTCTGGCTGCAAGAGGATGAGCAGGTGGTGAGTGGGACCACATTTTCCCTTCACCGCCACTGTCCCCAGGGGGGCTGGAGACGGAAGACGACTACAGCTACCAGGGCCACTTGCAGAGCTGCAGCTTCTCTGCAGAGAAGGCCAAGGTCTACATTAATGACTCGGTGGAGCTGAGCCAGAATGAGCAGAGTAAGTGAGGGGCGGTGAGGACGGGCAGGTGGGGCTGTGGCCTGGGTGCCCTGACACTGACCCTGTCCTGTCTCAGAGATGGCAGCCTGGCTGGCCAAGAAGGGCCCCATCTCGGTTGCCATCAATGCCTTCGGCATGCAGGTAAGACCCTGGCCCGTCCTTCTGCGGACTCCTCCCCCACTGCCTCTGGCCCCTACTCTTTATCCTCCACTCTCCCACCCCAGTTCTACCGCCACGGGATCGCCCACCCCCTGCGGCCCCTCTGCAGCCCTTGGCTCATCGACCACGCGGTGCTGCTCGTGGGCTACGGCAACCGTGAGTTCGGCTGATCCCCTTTGCCCTCCACATGCTCACAGGCTGGACCCCGGCATCTCAGACCCCTGGGGGTGGGCAGGGGAGTGCCTGGAGCCCTGTCCTCACTGCGGGCTGGGCACTGGGCCAGGCGGGAATCATCCATCCCCTCCATGGTGGAGGTGCTGTTCTGGACAGTAACATGCTGGGGGTCCAGGAGAGCGGTGGGTGGCTTTCTGCCCTTCCCCCACCCCTGGCACTTAGTAGCCTCCAGCAGACACGCATGGGGTTCGTAAGGCCTGATGCTCTGCACTGCACACTATTCCCCAGGCTCGGCCGTCCCCTTCTGGGCCATCAAGAACAGCTGGGGTGCTAACTGGGGCGAGCAGGTGAGTCTCGGGCTGGGCCCTGCTCCCCGCCGCCATCCTGCCCTGGCCTCTCACCATCCAACCCCTCTCACCCAGGGTTACTACTACCTGCATCGGGGATCTGGGGCCTGTGGCGTAAACACCATGGCCAGCTCGGCAGTGGTGGATTGAGGGCACCGCGTGGGACCTGGTGCTGGCCAGAGCAGACCCGTCACCAGCCAGGCTGCATGGCCAGGCCCTCGCCAGGAGCCACAGCCAGCTGAGGGATGGACACTGGGCACCTCAGGGTGAGCAAAGGGCATCAGACTAGGTGCCCCCCCCCCTGAAGTTCCCCAACCTTTGTTGAATTGTGGGAGCTAGGACTTGGGCGGGCGAAGAATGGTATCTCGGCAGCGAAGCTGGGCGAGAAGCCTGGGTCTGGATGAGGAGCAGGCAGGAAGGAAATCCTCCCGTCTCCACCCAGCAGCCCTCAGCAGGTTCTGGCTTCCCACCCCACTTCCCTCTGCCTGATGCTGTACATTTTCTGCTGCCCCTGGTTTGGGGCTGCCCCTTCCTCGATTAGAGAAACCTGTAACCACCCTGTTCTAACAGCAATAAAGAGGCTTTCTAGGCCCCAGTGTGATGTGACTGCTCAGCCCCGGGGCAGGGGTGTGGGGGCTGCGCTGGGGGAGCCCAGGTCGGGCAGCTGGCCCTGCAGCCTGAGGGCCCACCTTCTGCTCCAAGAACCAAAAGGAGAGGAAGAGGGGCCAGCGACGGGTCTTTATTGAGAAACACTGGCTGGCACTCTGGCCCCTGTGCCAAGGGATGGATGCGTCAGAGGTCACCCTCCTGTGCGGAGAACTGCGGTGGTCAAGGCTAGAGGTCAGAGGTCACTCTCCCCGTAGAGGGCACTGGAGAAGGCCACGTAGTCCAGGGCTCCTGCCGGAGCCCCGGAGCCCTTGTAGGGGGCCATGCGGCGGATGCAGTACTCGGCCTGCTCAGCCGGGAGCTCCCGCCGCAGCTCCTCGGGGGTGATGTAGTTCTGGGGGAGAGAGGTCGTGTGGGCCCCAGGTCCTGTTCCCTGCCTGCCAGCCCCCTTGGTCCCCCAGGACTCACCTTGTCTCCCGCCAGGATCTTGAAGGAGGCCACCACTTGCTCAGTCGTGTCTGTCTCGGCTGTCTCTCGGGTCATGAAGTCGATGAAGGCCTGGAAGGTCACCACCCCGACTGCATTGGGGTCCACCAGAGTCATGATTCGCGCAAACTCCACTTCTCCCTGTGGGGCCGGGACAGGGCATGTGGGCATGGGTGTGCGGGCCAGGAGAGCTGATGGCCCCTCCCGGTGACGGTCAGCCTTGGCCGGACGTTTCCCTACCCCCCACCCCACCGTAGACGTGTGCAGCTGCCTTAGTGAGCCCTGGCTTTGCGAAGCCCTTTGATTAAGCCGGTTGCTTCCTGCCCTAGGCAGCCACTCCTGTGGCCCTGTGGACCCCACCTTTTTTGCTGACCACTTTCCCAGACCACTTTGTAGTGCTGATTCTCAAGTAAAAATGCAAGTTCATGAGTCACAGAACTGGGTCCAAGGTCTAGCTATGTGTTGTCTGACCAAGTTAACACACTTCTAGGAGCTTTCGAAGGCCCCTGTGTAAAATGGGGTAATCCTGCCCCACACCAAAGGGAGGACTGAGGTAATAAGGGGGTTGTGTGGTGGAAGCCTCACAAAAGAGAGATATACTGAGAAGCCTCCTGGACGGCGTGGCCTTACCAGGTCGTAGCCCATGGAGATGAGGCAAGCCCGGAAGTCGTCAGGCTCCATCACGCCATTCCGCTTCTGCAGGGGGTGAGCAGGAGTCAGTCTCAGCACCCCGGCCTGCCAGCTGCCAGCCCACACCCCGCAGGGCGGGGCCCCTGCTGACCCGGTCAAAGTGGTTGAAGGAGGCCCGGAACTCGTTGAGCTGCTCCTGGCTCAGGCCCTTGGCATCCCGGGTCAGTACCTGGTTCTCCACCTCGTTGATGGTGCGGGCGATGGAGGTGAGCAGCTGCTCCCAGCCCACGCGGATGTGCTGGGAGGCAGGAGACCGGCCACTCAGTGGGCAGCTGTGCCTGGCCGCTAGCTCGGGCTCTGCTCCCAAAATGCAGTGTGTGGCCGTGGCAGGCCCAGCCCCAGCCCTGCCAGCCGCGGCCAGCTGAGCTGTGTCTCCATCTGGAGACAGCCTCCAGCCTGAGGGTTGGGTGAGTTACCGTGGACTAGGTATTGGTCAGCCCGCCATGGCCAGTCCCTGACTTTAGACAGGTCACGTTCCTTTGTGGGGGTTGGTACCCCTCTGGGTTCACTGGGGCACCCTTCTGGGCAGACAGGCCTCCCTGTCACGGGCGCACTCCCCCTCTTCACAGGGGGCGCCCCACCTCCATGCTGTAGGCGGTGTGCTTGTTGTCGAACACCAGGGCCTCCTGCAGCAGCTGCTGGCTGCCCTCCAGCCGGTCGATGTTGTCCTTGTAGTGGATGATGCTCTGCTCTTGCTGCCGCAGCCCGGCCATCTGCTGCTCCAGGGAGCCGGCCATCCCTGCCGCCAGGCGCCCCACCTCCTGCAGGGGAACCCCGGGCGGGATGAGGGCTCCCAGCGGCTTCAGACCCTCCCTCCCCCAGGCCAAGCTGTACCTCCACCTTCCCCTGGATCCAGGGCCCGACGGCATTGGCCTGGGCAGCAAACTGGCGCCGGAGTCTCTCGTTCACCTGCTGCCGTGCCAGCTCCTCCTGCAGCGTCTGGTCACGGCCGGGCACCAGCTTAAGGACCTGGGGAGGAGGGTGGTCACACCAGAGCCAGGCCGCTGCGGGGACATGGCTTTGAGGGGAGGTGGGCTGCAGCCCCTCAACAGGCCCTGCTGCTCTAGCTAAGCCGTCAGGGCTCTGGGCAAGCAAGCTATTGGGCACCACTTCCAAATCTGAGTGGGCCCAGTAGCCTCAGGGGTGATTACCAACTTAGGTGCTTTTGTAAAGAGACTTACACACACAAGATTCAATTAGACTTCACATCAGTCATGACGGGAAAATGCAGCTGTCTGACCATATTACCAGCAAGGCCAGGCCAGGCCAGGTCAGCCCGGGTAGGGAGGTGGCCAGTGCCGCGGGGAGTCTGTGGCCGGCCTCTGGTTCTCATCTTGGGGAGGTGTCTCGCAGGGGCAAGTGGGAGCCTGGGAGGGCAGCAGGAGCGCCCACCGTATCCCACTTGCTGTTGACGTCCTGGGGGCCGAGTGCGATGTAGGGGTTGGTGGAGCAGGGCCGCAGCCCGTAGGTCTGGCAGATCTTCTGGATCTCAGCCTGGATGCCCAGGAGGGCACCTCGCTCCCGGTCAGCCTCGGGCAGCGTGGCCTTGAAGTGCTCATGTGCCGTCATCAGGGTCTGGGGGCAACAGGTGAGAAGCGTCAGCCCGTGTCCCCCATTCCCGCTCAACAGGAAGGGCAGCAACATGCTCCGGGCCTTCCGCTGGCCTAGGCAGGTCTGGCTGAGGAATCCAGGCCTCCTGACTAGGGGAGAAAGGGGTACTGGGGTTTTCCTTCCCCCACGTGCCCTAGTGCCAAGGAATGACTGACGGGTTTAGGCCAGCGCCGCCGTCATCCCGCCCCTACACTGCGACTCCTTGTCCACCTGGGTCTCCTCCACTGAGTGCACCAGCCACACGTCCTGCAGGTCCTCCATGGCACCGTCCAGCCAGTTGTTGAAGGGGGCCGCCCGCCGTGCAAACTCCAGCTGCAGCTGGTCGATGGTCTCCAGAAGCTTCTCCATCCGCTAGGGGCCGCGAGGGTAGCGAGTCAGCAGGCCCCAGCAGACGCCTCACTGGGCTCCAGCCTGCAGCCCCAACCCCTGGCTCCCGCCCACCTCTAGTGCGTCACGTCTCCTCTGGGTCAGCATGCCCAGGCTGTCCCACTGGTCGCAGATAGCCTGGCAGCGGCTGTTGGCCGCGGCCGCCTGGTGGTAGCTGAGCTCACTAGGGGCGAGAAGGGGTCACTCGACTCCAGCCTGGATTCCTCCCAACTGCCCTCAGGGGTCAGAAGCTGCTGTTGCTGGTGAGGGACATACATGAGCCAGGGGAGGAGGGGGTTTGTCTAGAACAGGAGGGTGGCCCAGTGGGTTCCCTGGGAAAGGGTTCTCAGCTCCAGTCTCTGGAGGAATCTGGATGGAGCAGCGGGGCCTGGAGCTTCGGCTGGGGTTCTAAGAGGCAGGCTTACAGGATGAGGCCCTCGCGCCTGGAGAAAAGCTGAGGAGAAGATTCAGCTGGAGCTGTAGGGAGCTGCCAGGTTAGGGGCAGGCTGAGTGCCACTGAGGGACTGCAGATAGGGGAGGGTTAGGAGAGGAAGGGCGGGGGCAAGTGGTGATGGCGGGACAGGAGCACAAGGTGGAGATAACTCAGGAGAAAGAAGGGGCTTTAGGAAGGCAATGGGCGGGGCGGGGCTTGGGGTGGGGCGGGGCCACCCGCAGACCACGCCTACTTGAGCTCCTGGGCCAGCGCTGCGACGTGCTCCACGCGGTCCTGGTGCGCGGCCAGGTCACACTCGAAGGCGTCGTGGCGCCGCAGCATCGCCCGCACCTCCTCCAGCGAGGCGGAGTCGAAGTCGCGCTGGTTCAGCATCTCCTCCTTCCCTACTCGGAGAGAAGCCCGCGCAGCCAAGCCCATGCCGGGCGGCGGGAGCAGGGTGGTGTAGCCAGGCTGTGAGCCCAGCAGCTTCCTCACCTGTGATATTCAGGTGATAACACCTGCCTAGCCTGCTCTAGGGGCTGCTTGGAGTTGCTTGCATGTTAAAGCTAAGTTCCTTTTCTGGGGCATGACCGCAAAGTGACATGAGGGCCCACTGACCCTGCACTGGCCAGGGTGGACTTGGAGCAGTTTTGTTCATATTTCACCCAAAGACCCTCCCAAGACACAAGGCCACGGCTCCACGGCCCTCTCTCCGTTGCTCCCCAGTTTCCTCAGGGTCTGGTACTTTAGACCTCTGGCTATTTGTCAGATGGACGAATAATGGCAGATATTGGACAAAGGTTTTGAGAATGACAGTTGCCCTCATTTTGCAATCACACACTAACTGCGGCAGCGCCCACTGCATTTTGCAGAGACGGTAACTGAGACCTCAGGGTCACCTAAGTGGTCACGTACTTCGGGAATTATTGTCATATCCAAATACTGTTACTCTATGTCCATCAATCCGTTACTGCT